GTCGGCGCAACAGATTCTCGTCAGCTTCAAATGCAAGGCTTCATTGGGTTTGGATGTCTACCGTCTGGAGAACTACAGGGAGCCACCAGAGCTCCCCTTCATACCTTCCAGTAAAACGATTGAGCCATCAAGTCCACGGGATATGCTATGCTTTACATGGCAGGGATGCCCAACATACCAAGCGGGATGGAATCAAGAAGTCAAGGGACAAGGAACTCACAGCACACAGTGGGGGAATGCATTGTTGCAACTGCTTGTTTGAAATCACAAAGTGCAAGGTGCACTGACAACGTGATCAGCCAAACAGCGCCCATGCATAATACGTGCCACTACACAAGCACAGTTGTTCAAGGTGTCAATATAATTCCCTTCACCACTTGCCGGGTCGCGTGGGAGGCGAAGATGCAATGACTGGGGCCTTGTAACCCTGCTGGGGGGCTGGAATATGCCGGGGGGCTGGTGCTGCCACTGGGTGATGGTGATGGTGATGGTGCACGTGGGGCTGTGCCCTTTCCCTGGCCTCCTCCGAACTGGTCTTAGGGCAGCCACAACAGCAGCGGCAGGGGCAGCAGACGATGACGAGGAGGGCGTCGAAAATGCTGCAGATGAGGTTGCAGGGCAGACAAATAACGTCCGTGCAGCAGCCCATGACGTCTCGGCTTGGATACAAGAGGGCGAAACCATTGTGCGCATGCCGCGGACAAACTATCTCAAAAGCATACCGGCGGGTGCAAGAGCTCGGGTAAGCGACTCTGGTCCTGCATGAAGGCTGGAGAAAGGTCGTCCCGATTACCTGGACTCGGCGGTGTTAGACCTGCTGTTCTCCACAGCCCACGCGACTGCAGTGAATGGAACAAACTACTCTGTTGTGGCAGAATCTGCCACATGACTGAGACCGGAAGCAACGCGCTCTCTATGGGAAGCGATGCGGTGGCCACGTGTGGAGGTTTAAGTTTCATGGCGCCTTGACACCATTACACTGCATGCCGTAAGCGGGGCCCAAGCAGCGCCCATGAACCCTGTGATATGCATCTAGTGAGCATCTTACCGCATTTTCCCAAGGCCGATGTCAAACTGTATCCCGACAGACTCTCTTTACGCCGTCCGTCAGTATCGCAAGTGACAGTGCGGGCCACCATACTGTACCGGAGATGGTTGGGGTTCACCCCCTGGAAGCAGTGTACGCATGCATTTACTCGGCCATTTGGTATGCGGCTTCACATTGCGACCTTATCCCGGGCTGGTTTCGAACAGTCGTACACTGCTGGATACTCCTAGAGCTGCTGTTCCTGGTGTATGGAAAAGTCAGGTGAGGATCATGCCCAGACGTTGAATTGGGCCGGAACGCGCCCAGACGCTGGGATGGAATCGGATTTTTTGGTGTAGGACCATCCAGGAGTTTCTTGCTGCTCGGCCTATGGCTTGAGGAAGGGACTGGTGCAAACGGTTTCAAGGTCCCCTCCCAGTAAGTCCCAACCCTGGGCGAAAAATGGTGACCCGGGCACTCCTTCACCACGTGCTGTATCACCACCTCCACATCCATCACATCCCCTGCTGAAACCCCTTTCCAGGCATGCGAGGCTGGGCAGGCCATGGCCGCTCACCATTGACCCTGACCACCTGGAGAGGACGCTGGAGCGGTTCCTGACCCTGGCGGACGTGTTTCCATTTGAGGAGTATCTGACGGGGTGGTTCTTCGGCGCCCCCCTGGAGTCCATCTGCCGGGAGAACGTGCTGGACTATGTCCTGTACGGCTTGATGTACAAGGTGTGGGGCTTGGGCCACCGGGAAAGGCTGTTGTTGTGGAGGGCAGGCAGTGAACGTGTGCCACTCCATGGTCCTTTGTGCATGTGCTTGCGCATGGCTCCTCTACCTGGTGGGTTCACACCCCTTCCATGGGAGTGGATCCCACGTGAGTCCACCGGGCGCGTGCGTGGGGTTCGGGAGGCCGCAGCAACGCCGGCAGCAGAAATATGTCGGCAGAATTCCATCCGCCCTGAACCTGCCCCCCAGCTCATGCAATCTTCGGTCCAAACGCAGCTTCGCTGCCTTCCCCCAAAGGCCGTCGCACCCTCTCACCCAGACCGCCGACCCCATTTCCCCCCCCAACCCCCATACAACAGACCAAGGAGAGCACTTCGCCCGAGGAGCTGGCGCGCGTGGACGCCTTCCTGTCCAAGGTGGAGTCTCGGTGGGGGGTGAGGCTGACGCCCGGCCACAACCCCGCGCTGCGCTACATGCGGCACTCCTGGGAGCCACTGCGTGTCTACCCCAAGCCCCTGCTGGTCTACCTGGTGGTGGAGGCGCTGGGCCGCGGCGCGCACGGCCTGCTGCGCTGGCAGGGCTTCCACCAGTCGACCGAGGCGGGGTTCAAGTTCTGGCTCCTGCGCCCGCGCGACGCGGGCGAGGCGCGTGCGGCCGAGCCGCTGCCCGCGCTGTCGCCGCGGCGGCTGGCGGCGGCCGCCGGGCGCACGCGCTCCGCGGCGCTCGACGCGACGCTGGACCTTGCCTCCAAGGCCACCGCCGCGGTGTCCGCGCAGTACCCCCACGACCACCAGCAGTACCACATGCCCGTGGACGCCAGCCCCCTGGGGGCGGGCGGCCGGGGCACCGGCGCCGGCGAGGGCCATGACGTCGGCGAGGGCGCCCACCCACCACGCGCGGGGAGGTCGACAGGCGCGGCGCGAGACCGCGCACGCGCGACTCCAGCGCAGACGGGGCGCCTGCCCCCGCGGGCCCTGGCGCGCCAGCCGCCGCGCTTCCCGCGCTGCGCAGCCTGAGCGCGGCGCAACTGCCCATCGTCTTCCTGCACGGCGTGGGGTTTGGGGTGTTGCCCTACCTCCACTTCCTCCGCGCCATTGTCAAGTCCCACCCGGGACACCCGCTGCTGCTGGTCGAGGTGCCCCACGTCTCCCTACGCCTCTGCTGGCAGGCCGCGGAGGTGGACGAGGTGGCGCGTGCGCTGGCAGCCGCGCTGGAGCGCCACGGGTTCAGTCGCGCCGTGGTCATGGGCCACTCCTACGGCACCTTTGTTGCCTCGCGCTTCACCCAGCTCTTCCCCAAGGTGTGTGTGTGTGTGTGTGTGTGTGTGTGTGTGTGTGGGAGTGGTGGGAAGGGGGGTTGCATGATCGGGTGTGCGCACCTGTGGGCCGCCAAGTGACCGTGCAAGATGGTTCACTGCTGAGTGACCCATGGAGAGGAGCCTGCTCATCACTCGGTCCTCTTTTCATCCCAATCTCACACACACCCCTCGCTCCGCTGCTCGCAGATGGTACACTCCCTTGTCATCATGGACCCCGTGTGCATGCTGGTGTGCTACCCCCAGCTCCTGCACAACTTCATCTACCGCCGCCCCTCGCGGGAGAACTTCACCTCTGTGTCGGGGTCGCTGGACCTCATCCGCTTCTTCTGCAGCCGGGACCTCACCATCTCCCAGGTGCGGCGGTGCAGGGAGTGGAGGTGAACAAGATGGTGTGGGCGCTGTGTTTGTGAGGAGGATAGTTGCACATCGTCGGGCTCGGTGCCGCAAGCATACCTTCTACCTCAGCCCTGGGAGTCTCGACTCCTCCACCCATGACCACCCCGAGGCCCTAACCTTTGCTTGCCTGACAGCATGCTCACCCTCCCTCCTGATTCTGACCCCCTTTTTGAGTTCCACAAAAGTTGCGATGCCCCCCACCTCTCGAAACCTCGCGCTTCCCACCTCATGTGGTCGCAGGCCTTCTGCCGCAAGTTCAACTGGGCAGAGCTCATGCTGTGGCCCGACGACATCCCCGAGCGCTGCTTGGTGGTGGTTTCTGGGCTGGACGACCTCGTGCCCTCTGCCCTGGTGGTGAGGCAGCTGCAGGCGGCCAAGCATCCCGCCAAGATCATGCACCACCCGCTGCTGGGCCACGGCGGCATCCTGCTGCTCAACAATTGGCAGCGCCAGGTCATCGCCAGCATGGGCCAGTTCCTTAAAGAGGTCTGAGACCGGTGACTTGGCAAGTGGGAAAGGACTGTGCGAAATGCATGATGTAGCCCCAGGCTCGTGCGGTAGTGTTAGTGAGTAGTGTGGGCAGCTTGTCATAGGTTTTTATCTTTGGACTGTCTTTCTTCTCCAGAATAAATCAGTGTTTGCTGCAATTGCAGACCTTTTTGGTGTAACCTTCAGTCGAGGCCTGGTCAAGGGGGGATTATCAGGTGGACAGCCCCAGTTTTTGGACGGCGATGCTCAGACCCGCAATCATGGCAAGCATGAAGATCGGCAGCAAGGGGACCGCGACCCATGCATGTCACCGAGACGCGCCGAGCCCGGAACCAGCGATCGATCTGCCAAGCGAGCATCACTCCAAGCACACTGCAGAATTATAAGGAAGCGCCTATTAATTCTGTGTGCGACATAATTCAAGGAGTCTCACGCCGAGCTGCCGCTTTAAAGCAAGCTCCATTCAGCAGTGTCAGCCAAACCGCCTACCATGCCCCTGGGGCACATGACGGGGAGCTCGTGAGCGCATGGACCTGATCAACCCCAGCCCGGTAGTCCATGAGCGGCGTGCAACGAGGCAGAGGGTGGGTCTTGGGGCTTTACAAGGCGTTGAGTTGGTGATGGGGCCAGGTGCATTCTGCCCACCATTAAACACGTGTGCCGTCTGGCCCAACTAAGGGGTCCGCCTGGCTCGCAGGAACGCGTCACTAATGCCAGAGGTAGAGAGCTCATCGACAACATTGAAGTGTACGAGGTGAGGGACCCTCCCTGTGAGTCTTGGGCATGGGAATGTCCCTCGAGGGAAAGGGGTCTGCCACAAAGTGGCAGCCTCCCATACTTCCCAGCCTGCCCCCCCTCACATCCTCCAAACCCTCCCACCCCTGCGCCGCACCCACTCCACCCCACCGCAGCATGTCCGGGACATCAAAGACCCGGAGCACCCATACTCCCTGGAGCAGCTGAATGTTGTCAGCGAGGCAGCCATCGACGTAGACGACGAGCAGGGCAGCGTCAGGTGGGATGCCGCCGTTATATGTGGTGATCCCTGAACTGTCTCAGCGAGGCGCCACAAGCAGCGCTGATCGCGTGCTTCGCTGCTGTCCAACCAGGAACATATTCAATGCGATGCCTGCCCCACCAATGCCCCCCCTTACACAGGGTCACCTTCACACCCACGGTGGAGCATTGCAGTATGGCCACCCTCATCGGCCTCTGCATCCGCGTGAAGCTTCTGCGTGTGCTCCCCACCCGCTTCAAGGCGAGGCTGGGGCGTGTTGGGGGAATGTCTTCGCAACTTGCAGCCGGCGACCTTGTCAGTGTGGAGGCAGGTTCTGTGGCGCCCTGACAATCCTCGCTCCCTGCTGAGAAGAGTCCATTCCCCACTCTCCAACCCCCCCCTTACTGAATCACCACAGGTGGACATCGTGCTGGCGCCGGGCAGCCATGACTCCGAGGCCGCCGTGAACAAGCAGCTGGGAGACAAGGAGCGTGTGGCCGCCGCACTGGAAAACCCCAACCTGCTAGAAATGGTGAATGCCTGCATCGCCGGCGCCGCGCCGGCCTGAGGTCCTGTTGTCCGGCGCAGGGGCGCATGCGCTCTCGCTCGCCGGATGTTTGTGTTTTTTTCGTTCTCGGATGTATGTGATGCCCTATGCTGGCAAATGAATTTCATTACAGCTGTATCCTTCAAAGTTGATCATGAAGCACAGGGTCAGACTGACGCACCGGACCAGGCAAGCCAGGGCAGGAGGATGAGACGGGGGGGACCCCATCTCAGGAACCCAGTGTGGGGACTGGGCGGGCAGGGCATGCATGGACGACAGTCCTCCTCCTGGGTAGACTGCCTCATTGTGCCTTGGGCAAGGGGATGCAGGGCACTCCAGGCCGACCAGAAGAACACAGACGGGAAGAACAAGGGAGTGGCAAGGGGCTTTTGTGTGTGGGTGGGGGGGGGGGGTGGGGGAGGCCCTGGGCAGCGCTTCACGATCCGCGAAGAGGGGAGGCGCTGGGAGGGACACGGAGCATGGAGGTCGGAACAAGTGGCTTCGGCGACGGCGCCAGCTCCCGGCACCTCGGGGCAGCTCCCACCGCTCCCCCGCACAACCCGCGGCCGCTCCCCCAACCACTCCGCCACCGCCTTAAGACACCTCGGCGGTGCCGGCGGTGAAGCCCGGCAGCTCGTACCGGTACCTGCCGTCCGGCGCGATGCCAAAGCCCTTGGGGTCGGCAAACACGTTCTCCAGCAGCTGGCTCATGTCGGGCTTGGGTGAGGCGTCGGCGTACTCCACGCAGTCGTCCACCTCGGCCGCCACGGAGGCGTGCAGCTCTGCGAGGTCGGTCTCGCTGGCCAGTCCATGCTTGAGCATGTAGGCGCGGAGCTGGGGGATGGGGTCGCGCGCCGCGTAGTGCTCCTTCTCCTCCCGCGACCGCAGCTCGTCGGGATCGGCCAGGGAATGGCCCCGGAAGCGGTAGGTCTCTGCCTCGATCAGCGTGGGGCCCTCGCCGCGGCGCGCGCGCGCGACGGCCTCCAGCGCCGCCTCGCGCACTGCCAGCACGTCCATGCCGTCCACATGCACTCCGGGCATGCCAAAGGCGGGGCCCTTCTTGTGGATCCAAGGCTCCTCGTCGCCCAGGGTAGACCCCGTGGCGCGCAGGTGGTTCATGCCGATGGCCCACCGGTTGTTCTCCACCACGAAGATGCAGGGCAGCTTGTACAGGGAGGCCATGTTCAGGGACTCGTAGAACTGGCCCACGTTGCAGGTGCCGTCGCCGAAGAAGTTGACAGCCACCTGGTCCGCGCCGTCGTCACCCAGCACGCGGCGCTTGTAGGCGCTGGTGAAGGCCGCGCCTAGGCCCACAGGGATGCCCTCGCCGATGAAGGCGTAGCCGCCCAGCTGCAGGCAGGCGGAGGGGTGTTTTGTTTGGCGGGGGTGGGGGGTGGTTTCAAGGGAGGGTGGGTGGGTGGGAAGGGGATGGGTGACGTGGGGCGATGGCACGGACCACGTCCAGGAGCAAAATCGGCCTGCAATCTCTTCGGCCAGGCTTCATACCCATTGCACGCAGGGAGTTCCCCACCACTCATTGTTAACCCCCACTCTCCTCCAACTCACCAGTCCGTACTCGGCGTCAAACATGTGCATGGAGCCGCCTTGGCCGCGGCACGTCCCCGTCTTCTTCCCAAACAGCTCAGACATGATCTTGCGGGCGGAGATGCCCTTGCTCAGGGCGTGCACGTGGTCACGGTAGGTAGAGGAGATGTAGTCGTCCTTGCGCAGGCAGGCCTTGATCACACCTGGAGATCAAGGGAAGTGGACCCGGGTAGGTGAGCGGCGATCGCCGGCCGGGCACCCACCTCAATACGCATCGAGACCCCGACCGCCCTACCTGTGGACACCGCCTCTTGGCCAGAGTAGAGGTGCACGAACCCGAACATCTTGCCGCGGTAGTACATCTGGGCGCACATCTCCTCGAACTCGCGGCCCAGCACCATGTCCCGGTACAGCTCCTTGGCCGTCTCAGAGCTGATGCTGGCCGACTTGGACGCACTAGTACTGGCCTCCTTCGTGGGAGTGGCGACCGCCTTGGCGAAGACCTGGCGTGCGGCCCGGGTCGGCCGCTGGGGACCGCGGCTGGGCCGGAACGCAGCGAGCCTGTCGGCCCCTGCGCCCCCCGTACGGGAGCAGCTAGACAGTCGGGGCGTCATAGCGATGGAATACATGGTGCACAGTTGTGGGCATCGACCAGGGAATGGCGTCTAGACCTGCTTTTCTGGCATGGACAGATTGAGTCGATGCACCATCCCGACCCCCCCCCGCAGGGAGTTGATGGGCTGAAACTGGAAACCGCGAACCGACAGAGATGCAGCTACTGGTTGAGGCCGTGCATTCCCTTGCTGAAGAGAAATGAATGCTGTCACTGACATCTATTCACGTCCTCAAAGCTGACCCACTGTTCCTGATTGGGCTCGGTCCTAAACTTGGCTTGTACTACTCGTGCAGTAGTGGTTGGAGGGATGCATGCTGCCTGTGATAAAAGGCTCGGAGCAGAATGGGATCGCAGGGCACAGACCGAGGCCCAGGTTTATTTACAGAACAGGGATGGGTTGATGTTCGGATCCTGTATGTACTGAAGTGCCACACCCACACTGCGCTCCACCTCTGGCGAGTGTGGACCCATTCTGGTGTGCTGACAGCCCCACCACCCGACGCTGCCCAAGCTCAAGTGCGGTCTCTGGGCGGATGGGTGACGCTGGTCAGCGGTCGCAGGGACCCCGTCCACCGAAGCTTCTGAGTGATGCCCTCGTACCTGCATTGCCGGTGAGCGGTGGTTGCTTGGCAGCAGAGTGGTGCAGTGCCCCTGGCCAGTGCGGCACGGAGTGGGGTACACACCCAGCACGGCGCATTGCAATCCTCGTTTGCATTCACCGAGGCCGATGCACAGGGCCCCTCCCATTCTCCCCTCACCAGTCCTCGTCCAGGGGGTGGCGGTTGATCATAGGGAGCGCGTACCGCGAGGCCCGGCACACGATGGAGGAGTCGCGCAGCATGCGCATAGCGTGGCGCCCGTCGAACGAGGCCCTGCAAGGTGGCAGGGAAAGCGGCTGCTTGTTTTCAGATGCGCGTTCTGGATGGGCCTGCCAGCTCCAGGCGTAGCCAGCGATGGCTCAGCCTTTCATTACCCAGAAGCTCTGCTCCGGCGCCCTCCCACCCCTGGCCCGTCGCCCTGCGGTGTGTCTTCGCACCATCTCAACCCAGACAGCCCACCCACGACACCCCACATCATTGTCTCCTCAAACACACCGGAAGCCTCCCCCCACACTCCCACACCTGGCCTGCGCCCTGGAATTGCTGGGCAGGTGCACCTCGATCACCGAGTTCTCCGGCACCACCAGGGGCCGGAAAGAAAGGGAGTGCGGCGCCACGGGGGTGATGATGGTGCAGGGCACCGAGGGCGCGACCATGGGCCCCCCCGCCGACATGCTGTACGCGGTGGAGCCCGAGGGCGGCGCGATGATGAGGCCGTCGGCCTGCACCGTGGTGGCGTGCCGCCCGTCTACGAAGCACTCGAGCAGCACCATGGCGGGGGAGGCGCCGCGGTCCACCAGGCACTCATTCAGCACCATGTGCACCCGCTGCATGCGTCCGGCCCTTTGAGCGAAGCGGGAGTGGGGAGGATGGCGGCAGCGCTCACCGTGTCGACGAGTGTGCCTGTTCAGCATCACGATCAAGGGTGCAAGAGGTGCCCAGGCATCTCCACCCTGTGCTTGACGCAGCATGGCTGTGAAGCTGATCAACCTCCCTTATCCCCACACCGGTACCAAGACAGTTGATTCCCCCAACCCCTGTCCGCTCCTCACCAGTACACCTCGCACTGGCGCCGGGTCCTGAGCGTGCAGAAGACGGGCTCGGCCTGCCAAGGCGGCCAGAGCAGCTTGGCCAGAACGGCCTCCGCCTCCCCCGCCGAAAAGGGCGTGAGGAAGCCCAGGGTGCCCATGGCAAAGGAGATGACGGGGGGAATGGGCCGAGCGTCATCGGCAAACAGGCTGGCCAGGTGCAGGACCGTGCCATCGCCTGTGAAGCGGGGGTTGTGGGCATGCGAATCGGTGTGGGGCAGAGCAAGGGTAGGAGGGGGTCCCTCGTCGCTTCTCGGCAGGCGTGAGCTTGGCGCAGGTGGACACAGGGGACAGCTGCCTGCTGCATGTGGTTGTGCCGGCCCAGAGGTCCGCTCCCAGGCAATGGGGTGATGCAGCAGGTCACAACGGTCCCCTCTCAGGTCATTCCACATCGCCACCGCCTCCCACCTCCCAGGGTGATGCAGAGGTCCACAGAATGCACGTCATTGCCGCTGCATGCTTCAAGGTGGGGGAACTCTGCGAGGACCTGACGCTCCACCAGCACCTGGACGCCCCGCCCCCGCAGCCTGCACAGGGGGCCATGCGCGGGAGTCGGGAAGGCGGCGCTCGCCGCAACAGGACAACCGGACGGCAGGGGCGGGGGCAAGGGATTCAGATTCAGGGTTCTACGCACCAGGTGGCCAGCTGCTCCAGCTTCTGCGAGGCTTCTGTGTCCCGATGCTTCTTCACCAACAGCACGGTGGAGGGGCCCCCCGGCTTGAAGCGCAGGAGGGCGCGGCGGTGGAGGCCCAAGCTACTATCGTCCGCCCAGGCCTGTACAAGGTGGAAGGGTACTGTCGTGGTGGAGGAGGCAGACCTGCAAACAGCGTTTATGGATCAAGGCAGCACGAGCCCCCCTAGAATTTCCCCCTTGCCGGAATCAATGGTGCTCCCGGGCAGAAGGGCCGAGCTGTATGTATGGCGCCATTCCTCCCCTGATCCTTACCAAGCTCGCTCCAGCCACCACACCATCGTGGTATTCCGCCTCCCTGACGCTGGAGTCATGCTGGAAGCGGAATTGTGGCTGATATGACGGACCAATCTGAGAGAGAGCCTCTCGTCCACCTTCTGCCGCCGATGCCACACGACCCCATCGCAGGGAGATCCTGGCTCGAGATGCACACTGCCTCAGCATCGCTCGTTCAGGCGGGACCGGAGTCCTGCCCAGCGCCATGAGCGGTCATCCTCGGCGCTCCACCCCCATGATCAAATTCGAAGATGATGCCTTCTTATTCTCCAGTGTTTGTGGACTCGAGGGTGAAGTATCGACTCTGGCATGCTGTCATTCTACCCCTAAAACGACCATCAATGCAACCCCGTCTTCAAGCCAGAGCGCGCGGTGAAATCGCGCGCCGGCAGCGCCATGCGAGGTGCGAGCTGGGGTTCAACGCCATGACTGACCCCATATAGTGCATGTATGCCTTGCACTTCATAGAGAGAGATAAAAAGTGAAACTCTGTATGTACGTGTGCCAGGGAAGGAATTGTGCGAAAGCTTTTCTGTGCTTGTCTATACCCGCTCCGTATAACCGAGCCTGGACCTACACCATGTGAGTTCAAGATGATGAGGCTCACCTGAGTGGATTTCAAAACTTATAATGCTTCTAAACCCACCCGCCGCGTTCTTCTATGTCTGCAGTCTATCAAGTGGCGCGGGTCCCACCTGGGCATGCTCCTCCACCTCCCCTCCTTTCCTCTTCTCGCGCAGCGACTCTATCAAACGTGCACAGTCACAGCACCATGTCGACTGATGCAGTGGAGAAGGCGGAGCGCAAGAGGCTGAAGAAGGAGAAGAAGGCTGCTGCGGCTGCCGCTGCCGCCGCCACTGGGGCAGGCCCCAGTGCCAGCACAGCAGAGGCCGACCCCAACCCCAGCACAAAGGAGAAGAAAGAGAAGAAGAAGAAGAAGCGGGAAGAGGGATCTGAGGCCGCCCCTGCCCCCACCGGCAAGAAGAGCAAGAAGGCGGCACCCCCGGCCGGCCCCGCCCCCCTCGCCGAGGTGGGCGACCGCGAGCTCGTGGCCAAGCGCCCCCCCCTGGTCAAGGCCCTGTACAGCGAAACTGCGGAGGTGGCCTCTCAGAGTGACGCAGAGGTGGCGGCCTGGCGCGAGGCACGGGCAATCGTGGTGGAGGGCTGCTCCCTGCGCCCCATCACCGCCTTTGCCCAGACCGGGCTGTCGTCCACCCAGCTGCACGCCGTGCGTGCTTTCTCGGCGCCCTCCCCCATCCAGGCCCAGTGCCTGCCTATCGCACTGTCTGGGCGCGACGCTGTCGGCATCGCCGCCACGGGGTCGGGCAAAACCTTAGCCTTTGGATTGCCAGCCCTGGCCCACATTGCCGCCCAGATCGGGGCGGGCGTGGTGACGGGGAAGAAGCCCATCGCCCTGGTCATCGCCCCCACCCGTGAGCTTGCCATCCAGATCAGCGTGGTGCTGGAGGAGGCGGGACAGCCCTGCGGCATCAGGTGAGGGGGCCGGCATGGAAGTATCTGTTGACTTCTTACGTGGGGTCTGACTGGGGAGCCTGGCTGCTGAGGCCGGAGGCCGGGGTGTCTCATCACAGCGAATAGGCTTGGAGGCTGCCAGACGTCATGCTGGTATCACGCATACCCTGGCACCACACGAATGCCGTCCCTTGGCCCGCAAGACACCCCGGCCCTGCTGCCCCTGAACCCCACCCACAATGCCCCCTCACCACAGCTCCGTGTGTGTGTACGGCGGAGTGAGCAAGCGCGACCAGGTGACTGCTCTGCGCAAGGGCGCTCAGATCGTGGTGGCCACTCCTGGGCGCCTGGAGGACCTGATCCAGGACAATGCCTGCAGGTGGGGCGAGGTTGGTTTTTACGAGTGGGCAAAGGGTCTCCTGCTTTACCAGCTTGCAGGAGAGCTACAATGTCAAGCGCGCGCCATGCTCATCACATCTGGAGATCAGAACCTGGCATTGTCCCCCCCTTGCAGGCTGGACGACGTCAGCTATCTAGTGCTGGACGAGGCGGATCGCATGCTGGATCTTGGTTTCGAGCCCCACATCCGCGCCATCGCCTCCAAGACACGGGCAGACCGCCAGGTGAGGCGAGGGAATTGTGCGAAGGGGGCCATGTTGAGAGCATGCTCTAGTCAGGCGTGCTTGGGGGGTGTATTATCAGAGCAAGGAAGCAGGGCACCTCTTGGACCAGTTTGTAGTGAGGCGTGAGGCTCAAACCCCGCCCATCTTCGATTAACAGCAAGTCCAGGACGTCCACCCACGGCCTCTGCCAATCAAAACAGCCTTGCCCTCCTCAGAAGCCTGCGCCCCGCACCCGCACCATCCCCCCCCTCCCTCACCCTGCACCAGACCCTCATGTTTTCGGCCACTTGGCCCAACGTCATCCGTAAGCTGGCGTCGGAGTTCCTGTCCAATCCGGCCCGCGTCATCATCGGCTCCCAGGACCTCGCTGCCTCTCACTCTGTCAAGCAGGTGCATGTGTTGATGTGTCTGGAGTGGAAAGGGAGGAAAGGGGTTGGGTTAAAGTGCTGTGTCAGCATGGAAGCAGGGTGCCTGGCATGCGCGCAGCGACCATCTGCTGCTGCATCGCTTGCTGTCCTGGACAAGCTGCTGAGCTCTGCAGTGGCAAGTATGTGAGCTGTACTATTCCCGTTCCACTCATACACCTCGCTGCGATCACGAGCGTGGCACCAGTTCCCTGCCCAGACACCTCCCTGCGCCGCTCCCCTTCCCCAACCTCCCCTCAACCCCCCCCCCTCCCCGCTTTGTAGATCGTGGAGGTGATCGACGCCCCCGCCCGGGACGCGCGCCTGCATGCCCTGCTGCAGCAGTACCACGGTTCCCGCACCAACCGCGTGATCGTGTTTGTGCTGTACAAAAAGGAGGCCACCCGCGTGGAGTCCCTGCTCCAGCGAAAGGGCTGGAAGGCGGCGGCCGTGCACGGCGACATCTCCCAGGCCCAGCGCTCTGCTGCCGTGGACGCCTTCAAGGCCGGGACGGTGCCGGTGCTGGTGGCCACCGACGTCGCGGCGCGCGGGCTGGACATCCCGGACGTCGAGGTGGTGATCAACTACTCGTTCCCCCTGACCACGGAGGACTACGTGCACCGCATCGGGCGAACGGGGCGGGCCGGCAAGAAGGGTGAGGCTGTGGTGGCAAGGATTCTTTGTGTGTGGGGTCACTCGTGGAGGAGACTGCGCCTCGAGAGCTCGCGCTGGGGTGTCATCTGGCCCGCCTCAGAGCCGAGGCGAGCATGCTCCCGTGCAGACTCCTTGTCTTGGGCAGGGTCCTTCTGGCCCCACAGCTTCATGCCTCCACATCACCTTACCGCCCCAACCATCTCATGCCTCACCCCTGAACTCCCCAACAATGAGACCAGGCCTGGCGCACACCATGTTTGTGGGGGCCAACGACAAGCCACGGGCGGGGGAGCTGATCAACGTGCTGAACGAGGCAAAGCAGGAGGTCCCTGCCAGCCTGTTCCAGTTCGGGACCTCGGTGAAGAAGAAGGAGAGCAAGATGTACGGGGCGCACTTCAAGGACGTGGACCTCACAAAGAAGGCCAGCAAGATCTCCTTTGACAGCGACGACGAGTGACCTGCTGATGCTCCGCGGCGGTGGAGGATGGAGGAGAGGGGTGGCGTGACACGCCGAGCGTCCACGGCAGGGCCACGATGTGGATGTTCGGCGTGCGACCCCGATGTGCGCGTGGGCACACGGTTGGCTGAGCACTCCCGCTTCTCCTTGAAGCATTACTTGCTGGCTGCATGGTACGAGCACCGCTGACACTCGAGCAAGAGTCTGAGGCTGGGCTGATCCACGAACACCCCAAGTACCAAACACACCTTCTGGCCATGCCTTGTGGCTCCCCTGACAAAGACTGCACACACTCGAGGGGGCAGCATCTCCTGCACTCACTGTTAGCAAGGCACACACGAGCAGATTTGTTCAGAGGCATGGAAAGACTCCCAAAGCATTCCAACAGAATCATTGCTGGTTTGCTCTCGATGAAACTCTCCGGGAGGAGGTGATGCTTGGTGCACGCAAGCGGGTTGCAGGATCACAAGAGTCATGACTAGCGATCCTTAACCCAGCTGTGGCTCCTTGCTCTCTTTGCCTGATTTGGATCGGAGTGCCGTCCGTGCATTGGACAGCATGGTGGGAAAGGCAGCTGCCATTCTTCCAGTGTTCCTCCAAAGAGCTTGTAGAGGCATCGGCTTACTGGGACGGTCCTCCACCTCATCCAACCTGTCAGGGGGGTGGGGATGTCAATGAAGCGGCAGCCAGGGGAAGTGGGTTGCTCACGGGGGAACACCGGAGATCCACGATTTGGCATCCATGCCTGCTCGACCACACGTAAGGCATTGCGGCGTAGCTGAAGGACTTGCTGTTCTGCACATCCCGCCCTCCTCACTCACTCAGAGACCGAGACGCCCGCGCTGAGTAACTGGATTTCCAGGGCCTCAATGGCAGCAAACTTCTCCAACAGGGCATCATCCACCACGGTCGACTGGGACTCCAGCTGGGCTTGGCGCCGTCTGAGGTCACTGGAACGGATCGGAGTGGCGAAGAAGCCCTGAGGAACTGACCAAAGTGTGCAGGCCAACTTCCATGTTTGAATGAGGCCCCATGGAGGACACCGCAGCTCAGCCTTCGGGCCTACCTCAAGCTCTCTTCCTTGAGGGCACACTGCTCCAGTCTCTTGTTCAGGACCAGCTGCACATGCTGCATCTCGTCGTCGAGCTTGGACATCGCGGTCAGGAGCGCGTGCAACCTGACCGTGGCTTGGTCCACGGTACTCCCATGAGTCACTCCATGAAGGGCGAGGTCGGTCAACATTGGGGTGTACGTGCGAGGTTTGAGTTTCAAAGGAGCGTCCAACTGCTTATTCCAGCCTCTCGGTGCATTTTTTGCTCGAGTCTCGGGCGTAGGCCATCTCGTGAGAATGAGTCAGCCCGTGCCCCGGCCCCTTCCTGCTAAACATGTACCCTGTACAACAGCCTAAGCAGGACACGTGAAGTGCCAGAAATAAAGATCAAGGGGCAAAGGCTTCTGTGTGTAAATGGGAAGAGGAAAGTTTCTTTTGTGCAGTGCGTGAGGGTGCGCAATGAGCCTGGTGAAGGGTGGGGGTACGTGGGGGGAAAGTAGGACGAAGATGGCAGAGGGGTACTGATGGATGGGTTTCTGACGTGGCTCCCGGGAGGGGAGCAGGACGGCGCCCCGCCCTCCGAGCCTCCATCGCCTCGTGTTGCGCGGGGCGGCCGACGGCGCGGCCCGGGGCCCTGCCTCCGGCGCATCAGGCCTTGGCGCCCTGGGCCGCGCCGGCCGCGCCCTGGGACTCCCCCAGCTGCTGCACCGCGCCGGCCTTGGAGTCGCCCAGCAGGGTCTGCACCAGGCTCCCCACCGAGTTGGTGGACTTGCGCTCTGGGCCAGAGTACTCGCCCTGCGTGGGAGGCGGCGAACGGAGCGGGTGGGGCGGCAGGCGGCGTGAGACCTCCTCAAGAGCCTGCCACCCGCCATGCAGTAGCCCCGGTCCCGCGGAAAGCCGGCCGGTGCTGCCATTCCAATGACAGTTCTCCTCGAAACCAACCCCCCCTCACCTGCTCGTTGGCCCACTCCGCGTTGGCGTAGGCGCGGAAGTGCCTGATGCGGTGGAAGGAGATGGCGTTGGAATTGTGGTTGTTGAAAAACTGCGGCAGCGCATCCGACCCGTCCTCCGACCAGGGGCTGAAGGAGGCGCGGGAGACGATGACCAGGTCGGTGCCTGGGTGGGTGGGGTTTTGTATGTTGATGGGGGAACAGATGATGCCGGGAGCAGGGGCAGGGGCACATCCCTCGACCACCAATGCGGCGAGGGGGTCAACAGGTCTCCGACCAGATCCAGGCCACAGCATGCCTCCCCACAAGTTCCCAGCCCCTCACCATCCCACCTCCCAAAAACCACTACGGCCCCTTCTCTCCTGGCCGTTGCCCTCTATCAACCAACCCCTCCCCCCCCACATGGATACAAATCAACGCACCGTCGACCATCATGTGGGGGTAGGCAAAGTGGCGCCCCAGCTTGACGTGGTAATCGACGACGCCGGCGCTGGTCCAGTCCACCAGGTTGGGCGAGTAGTAGAGCATGAGCGTACTACGGTCCACCTCACACTTGGAGAAGGCCGTGATGTGCAGGTTGGGCGCCAGCACCGTGCCCTTGCCCGGCTGCTTCCAGGCGCGCACCGAATCGCGATTGGCGTTGGTGGCCATCCAGTACAGGTCCGAGACGGCGTCGTAGAGGATGGAGGGGTGCCCCACCGCCAGCCCCGGGATGTTGGTGTAGCGCAGGAAGCGGGAGCGCAGACGCCCGGGCTCGCTGTCGTCGTACTCCACCAGCGCGGCCAGGTCGCACATCAGGTCGTTGTTCACACGCATGATGCTCAGAAGCTTGCCGTTGCCTGCGGAGTTTGGGGGGGAGGGAGGGGTGATGAAAGTCATTGTGTGTGTGGAGAGGTGAAATTGGACAGAGGCATGGCGGTGTGTACGACAAGGCAGGGAGCGATCTTCAAAGGACTGCACCGTGCCGTCGCTTTGCAGCCTGGTGATTGGGCTGCCCGACTCGGGCGTCCTGCCCAAGACCACCTGAATTCAAGTCCACACGCCCCACTCACACACGCCCCCCCCTCACCTCCGTGGCGGTCCTGCAGGCGCGTCACCACGCCCTCCATCCAGTACAGGCTGCCGAAACCCGCCTCGAACGCCTCCTCATTGTCCTTGATCCCGTCGAGCTTCATGCCCACAATGGATTCGCGGACCTGAGGAGGTGATTG